GCACCTCTCGTGGGGGTCCTAGAGGAGGAGGGCGCTGGGTCCAGGCCAAGCTGGGTCCAGGCCAAGCGCCTCTTGCAGCCCAGTGGGTCCTGAAAAGATGGGGATGGGCTGGCCTACATTAGATCCTGCTTCTCCGACCCCTGCACAACCCTGCCTGCCCGAGGTTGGCCCTCAGAGCTCTGTGGGAGGGTTCAGCACCCTGGACAGGGCGTGCAGCACCCCATTCTGGAAGGCAGGGTGTCCCTTTTTGGTTGGCTCTCTAAGCCTTCGCTCCTGCTGTGCCCCGACTTGGTGAACCTTGCAGTGGCTTGTAAGGTCCCAGGGGTGTTTGGAGACCATGTCTGGTTCCCATACCCTCTTCTTCGTCTGGCAAGAAGCCTCTGTGCCACCCAGATGGCCCCTCCCTACTCTGTCTTTACTGTGCCTGAGATTCTTCCATCACAGACTCGGTTCATGCAAGGCCAGGACCAGACCCTCATCCAAAGCAGGCCTCCGAGATGTTGCATTAAATTGTCTCATTAAGTCATTTACAAGGCGAAGGAACTGTTGGGGCGCCCCAGTCCTCAGGCAGCAAGTGCCTTTCGTCTCACTGGCCAAGTCCTCTCCACTGCTGGCTTTGCAGAGCAGGGACATGGGCAGACCCGAGGCTGCATCACAGGGCCCATTAGCCAGGTCTGCCTGGCTGAAGGCAGCGGCAGTACTGGGCTCGTGCGCCTCCCTCACCTGACAGCCGCACTTGTAGATGAGGAAACTGAGGCCTCGCGGCACCTCTGACCTGGGGCTGGGGGCTGTGTTTAGGTGGCCCAGCTGCCCCTGAGTCTGAAGGACAACAGCTGGCACCACATCTGCATTGCCTGGACCACAAGGGATGGCCTGTGGTCTGCCTACCAGGACGGGGAGCTGCGGGGTTCTGGTGAGAACCTGGCTGCCTGGCACCCCATCAAGCCTCATGGGATCCTTATCCTGGGCCAGGAGCAGGTAAGACTCAGAGTGGGATCAGGGTTTGAGGCCCAAGCACAATCCCACTCACCCAGGGCCCCCAGGGAGGAGAGTGGGAGGGGCCTTGAAAGCTTAGCAGTCTGACCCAGCCCTGTGCAGTGGGCAACACCCAGAGAGTGCCCACCGTTGAGGGGCGGGGCTAGGGCCTTGAGGTGGGGCTAGGGCCTTGGGGTGGGTCTGGACCGTGGGGAGGAATTTCAGCAGGAACTGTCTGTCTTTCATGTTCCCTCACTGTCCTCCTTTCTCTGCTGTTCTCTTGGCCCAGGACACCCTGGGTGGCCGGTTTGATGCCACGCAAGCCTTCGTGGGCGACATTGCCCAGTTTAACCTGTGGGACCACATCCTGACACCTACCCAGGTCCTGGGCATTGCCAACTGTACGGGGCCGCTACTGGGCAACGTCCTGCCCTGGGAAGACAAGCTGGTGGAGGCTTTCGGGGGTGCAAAGAAGGCCCCCTTTGATGTCTGCAAGGGGAGGGCCAAGGCATGAGGGGCTACCTCATGCAGGGCCCCCCTTTGTCTGGCAATTTGGGGCCTTTGGGGGGCATGCTCCCCCCTCAGCCTACCCACGCTCTGTCCTGCCCCACTCCTGGTCCTACCTCCCCCCCTCCCCCCCACAATCCCAGGATGCCCAGCCCTGCAGTGGCTGGCCCCCCATCCCACTGGGGTAGGGACAAGCAGCTCCAGCCAACACATCAAGGCTGGGCTGAGTCCAGGGCCAGGGTGGGGCGGCTAGCAGTGCTCACAGCTCTGTCCACCTCCTGGCATTACACTGGGGCCATCTCTCAGCCCAACCTGCCTTGCCAGGCAGCCCTATCTGGTTCCACTGACTTCAACAGCGTCTGCCATGGGATTGCATTTGGGGCGAGGGCTGTGAGCCCAGCGCCAGGGCGGCCTTCCTGCATCTTTCCACCAGCTGCCAGTCAAGGGCAGCAGGATCTTGGTGGAGCCTCTACCCACCTTCCCACCCCTGCCCACAGCCTGCCTCTCCCTCCTCTCTCTGCTCGTGGTTTGAATGTTGGCTCCATGTGTGGCTGGCCCCACCTCATTTTCTAGGACATTCCTTTTCCAGCTCCAGCCTGGAGCATTAGGGACCAAGGCCCCACCAGGTCAAAAGGCCATTGTCCCCCCTTGTGCCCACCGGCAGCTGTGTCTTCTGGGGCACAGCCCTGCTCCATGCGCAGACAGGGCCTGGGCCACTTCCGCTTGGGCTGGGAGAGCATGAGGCAGAAGCGCTGCCCCAGGGGACCCAGACTCTGGCAGAGCTCCCCGCTAAGGGCTGTAGCCTCTGGGGAAGGAAGAAGCTGGGTGGGCAGGAAGAAACATGGGGTGACGTGCAGAATGCTGGGTGAGGAGGAGGAGTCCTTGGTTCCCAGCTAGCCCCGCCCCAAGCCTGCCGGGTGGCCTGCTCAAGTCCCCACTTTGGCCGGCGCCCCCCTTTATGGGCTGAGGCCCTTGCTTTGGGGTCTGAGCATTCCAGATCAGATGTGCGGCAGGCGTGGCTCTGGAACAATGGGGGAGGCAAACCTGAGGGTCCAGGGTGCCCCAGGGGCATAACGGGGCAGCACATGGGTCTGGCTGGGCAAAGGTCAGGGGCAGCAGCTGGCTTTAGAGAGCCAGAGGCAGAGCGAGACCCCCTGGGACACAGGTCTGAAAAACCTGCTCTGCTAGGTCCCTCCGCCCAGCACCCCGCCAGAGGCCAGAGTGCACCAATGAGAGGGAGGGAGGGCAGGTGTGACCCGCGGGTGCTGCTGCAGGAATGGGGTCTAAGGGCGCAGGTGTTCTGCGCCCCACCAGTCGCCTACAGGTGCCGGGGCAGCTGCAGGTTACCTGACTCAGTGGGACGGGGGCGGCTTCTGCCCCTCTCCCATTTCGCTCCCTGGCTCAGCTCCCATGGCCGCTTAGCCCGAGGCAGGACATAAGCGCTCTGGCCGTGGGCCCAGAGCCAGGGAGGCAGCGCCAAGCCTTGTTGCTCCAGCCCGACCCTTGTTCCCATTTGAAACGCACAGACAGACCCCTCGGCACCTCTGCCAGCCCCCCCCCCAGAAGCCACCTGCCTCAGCCAGAGGTCTGGGTTGCCCGGGTAACCGCCAGCACCATCAGCCTAACGCTGGGTCAAGCATCGTGGAATGACATGCAGTTGCTGGGGTGACAGCAGAATTCAGAACTTAGATTCTGGGGACACAGGGCGTGACTGGGTTCTGTTGCTTTCTTTAAGGGGGCTGCTTTGGGGACTGCGCGACGCTGGGGGGAAACAGGGGCCTTTCTCGGGGGGAGGGGCACAGCTTGCTCGGCCACTGAGCCTAGCTGAGGCCTCACCCCACCTTTAAGCTTTGTCATGGTGACACAGACCTCTGAAGTGCAGCCTGGCTCCCGTGCTGAGTCACCCTGGCCGGGCTACGGAGGGCACAAACTGGGAGCGAGGGGCACAGGCACCCAGTCGGGGCTTTGGGCAGGCGGCCAGGGCCCCTGCCCCCCGCCCCGGTGTCCTGCGCCCTCGCTGTTGGGACCAGCTCTGCGCCTCCTGCTGCTGCCCGCACAGCCAGGGCGAGAGGAGGGGCCGACACAGGGCTCAGACGTGGCCAGCCGCTCCCGGCCCGTCACGACGCCAGGGCGCGTCGGCACTGCGGGCTCACAGTCCACGCGTCCTCACAACGCTGGACAAGCGAGCGGCTCAGTGACCTGCCCAGGGTCAGCCGGCTGGGGGGTGGCACCAGGGCTCAAACCAAGGCTTGCGCTGGGGCCTGGCTCGGCCGGGGGTGGGCACCTCTCCTGGGTGGGCCCCACTCACCACCCTCCGGGGGCCTGTGGCCACGCCAGGGGCGGCGAGCCATTCTCCACAGAGCGCCCAGTGATTCATCCTGTCCCGGGAGCCGGAGGAGGGTGGAAAGGGAGGAGGCCGCCGGGAAGCCGTGCAGGGGAGGGATGGAGTGAGTTGGAGATTTCTCAGACTCCTGCTTTGGTCCAGCCCCAAGCCAGGTGCTTCACAGCTCTTACCTGCCAGATTTTTCTCCTTTGTGGCACCTTGTGCCCCCAACTAACGCCCCAAAGTGACGGGTCCCCGTGCCACAGCTGGGTGTGAGCCGGGAGCACAGACCGAGGCAGGAAGACTCCGGGCAGGGCCCAGAGGCGAGGCCCAGAGCGGGCGAGCGACCCTCAGGGCCGCCCCACCAGGAAGCGGGGCCCTCGGCGCCCACCCAGCGACTCCGCGTTCCTGCCCCACGGCACGTGGACCGGCCCCCCACACCCGGTCCCTCCTCTAAGCGCCCTGCAACCCTGCCCTGAGCAAACTGGGGAAGGGGCCGATCCCAGACGGGGGTTACCTCCTTCACCCCTTGGGCCCAGCTGCCTGCCCCGCCAGACCCGCCCAGCCCGCCCCTGCTGGGTGGAAAGGGGCTCTGGTGGACCCAGACTGGACAGGGGGAGTCCTCGGACACTGTGAAATTGGCGCATCCTGTGGCCGCCCACCCCCACCCTTCACTCACCTGATTTTGTACATAGAAGTGACATGAGATGTGACGTGTGTGTGAACGATGTGTCATGGTTTTTGTTACCTTTTTGTTTTTGTAAGTTTGAACGTTCAAAATAAACATGATGTTTACTCTGAGCCTCTTCTTGCAAGGGGTAGGGCAGGCGGGTGGGGCTTGCACAGAGCAGGAAGGGGGCAAAGGCAGGGGCGGCGGGTCCTGGCACCCCAAAGCCTCACCCCTACCGCTATATCCCCCACCTGGCAGGTTCCCCCGGGCCCCAGGTGCAGACAGCCTATCCCCAGGATCTGGGCAGGGAAGATGTAAAGAACACAAGTCCCACATGGAACGTGGCCCAGTTCTGGTAACTGGGCTTGGCCTCATTCCCAGCACCCCAGCCCACCGTGGCCCAGTTCCGGGAACCGACTGTGAGGCCCAAGCGGCCTGAGGCGCTGGCTGGACCCCCCCCCCACTTCCTGGGGGTCCCAGGCAGAGGGAGTGGAGGAGGCGCCTTTGGGAGCCTGCCTGGACGCTCCCGGCTCTTCTGGCCTGCACGCTGGAGCTCAGCCCCCCACCTGGCCCACCCCCACCCCTGAGGCTCTCACGCGGGCTCCACCTTCCCACTCCACCGCTGCTCCGGCTGAGCCCGGTCCTCACTGAGACCACCGAGGGTTGGGGATCCCACACCAACAGGCCCAGCCTTTCCAGACTTTCCCAAAGCTTCTGGAACTTTCTATTCGGCCCCCAGCGGACCAGAGGGCGGAGCCGGAAGAGGCCCCTCAAGTGGGAGGCTGTGTTTGAAGCCCACCGAGTTGTCCGGAAAACCCAGCTCCCCATGCTGCTCCGGCAAGAATCCAGATTTGTTTTCAGGTAAAACGTTTTAGCGACTCACACCGAGTAAGACGAAGGCTCCACCGGAGACTGCCTTGCTTCTCCCTCTCCGCCACCGATTCACTCACAAACCTCCCTGCCCTCTGCCCCACTCAGCTGGCAGTGCCCACGGGGCGCCAGACCCTCCGCGGTGCCGTCACCTGGGTGGCCGGGCTCCGGCGGGGGTTGAGTCTCATTTTAGAAATTCACGATCCCCTCCCTCATGCTTAGTGAAATAAGCCAGAAAGAAAAAGAAAAATACCGGGTGGCTTCACTCATAGCAGAGCATTAAAGGACCAGGGGGTAAAAATAATGAGCAGCCATATTCCAGAGACACATCACGGGGTGGAACGGGGATTGGGATCAAAAACAGTGCGGGGAAGGGGTGCGCTGCACTGGGGTGACGGCACACGGGGGATCTGGAGATGGGAAGGCCCAGGGGATGACAACTGAGATGGGAAAAGGCACAAAATGATGTAAAAGTGAACTATTATAATAAAAAGAAATGCCGATCCCACCCCTCCACACCTCTGGCCAACACCCCAGATCATCTATGCGTGAATCAATAAATAAGAGATCGCAAGAAACAAACTGACGAGCAGACACCTCCAAGCAGCCACCTCCCGCCTGCCACCTCCACCTCTCGCAGGAGAGGGCGTCTTCTCCAATGGCCCCCAAGTCAGACTGTCTCCTCAACCGCCTGCAACCTTTCACCCCCCACCGGCACACTCACCAACCCTCACTGCCCACCACACGTCCCCACCCGTGTGCCCGCGCTGACCCTCCCTGTGTCCTGGGCCGTCACCAGCCGCTCCCACCTGCTTTCTCACTCTGCGGGCACAGGAATACAGCCTCATGGCCTCGTGTCCCCCCACAAAGCCCGGGGCGACCCCCGGCAATCTCCCTTGGCTGCTTCCTCTGCAGGATTTCTAGAAAAAGCCAGTGTGCTGGGGTCCCTAAGGCCACCCCAGGCTGGATGGTGCCTAGGACTCACAGGACCCCAAAGTGCTGCCAGATGATGGTGCTGGTCTGTGGCATCAGATTACCAGTAGGAAGAGGAAGGGCCCAGGAGGCGCGTCCCAGGGGAGACTAGGAGCTCCCTGCAGCAGAGCTGTGAGCCACCGTCGCCTCGTTCTCCGGCCAAGACCCGACACGGGGCAGAGCCTGGCGCACGGGCTGTGGATGGGGCCGTCACTCGGCGGGGAGCACGCACCGAGCCCCTCGGTCTCCGGCCCCCACCCCAAGGCCAGGCAAGTAGGAGCAGGTGTTTTGTACAAGTCACGGTGTTAATGCAAATTCTCACATGGGCCGGGGTATAAAAGACACGCTCACCAGGTAGGACATTCCAAGGACTCAGAGGTCCGTGCCCGGCCCTGGTCCTGTCCTTCTGGTGGCCCGAGCTGGCGCTCCGGCCTACTGCGCCGCTGGGCACCGCTCGCACACACATGAGCTGTGTATGGCGCTGCCCCCCGCCCCCCTCTCCTGCACACCGTTCCCACTCAGCTGCTCCCCCACCGCCACGCCACCGCCACCGAGTCGGGCGCCGCAAACCAGCCGCGACTCCAGGCTGGGAAGCCGCTGGCCTGAGGGGGCGCCCGCTGGCCTGAGGGGGCGCGCGCCCGCGTCTGACCCGTGGTCACCACGCGTTCCTTCCGAGACACAGGCTCCGGCTTTCCTTCCACCACCGTGGCTCTCCAACTTCAGCCTGTGACATAATCACCTGGTAAAGCCCGACGGCACGTGCGGCCCCACCCTGGGGCTCTGAGCAGCAGCTCTGGGGGAGCCTGGCGCCCTGGGTTTCTGGCAAGTCCCGGGCCACACAGAACCACCCCCGCGGCCGCTCCTCTCGGGCTCTGCGGCCCCAGCCCCAGGCGCCGCGTGTACTCCAGGGGCAGGTTTCTCAGTCTACTCAGAGGTTCACCCCAGCGACACTTTCACGGCCCTGCTGCTCCTCCCTGGAGCGTCCCCGACTCCACACGTGCGCACCCCCACTGCCTAGTGGGAATCTTAAAGTGAATACCACGCAGATTAAACTCTGGGTCCCCCGGCCTACCCCAACCTTCCCCTTCTCAATAAATAAATAAACAACTCCTCCTCCAATCCAAAATGGAGGTGGTGTTCAAAAAGCTGGTGTCGTCTTTGATTTCTCGCTTTCTCCTGCCCGCGCCCCATCACGTACCTCTAGGGCGCAGCTCAAACCGGCCCACGCCGCTCCACGTGAGCACAAACGCGTGGTCTCTCTGGACTCCACGGCCTCCTGAGAGCCTGTCCTCTCCCCAACGTCCAGACAGAACATGTTGCCCTCAGATCAGCGTGGTCCCCGCTCGAAGACCTCCAAAGTCTCGCGACACACTTCACGAGTGTGTGGCAGCCGCGATCCAGCAGGCCCCTTGCTGGGTCAGGCCTGGGGGGGGGGGCTCAGGCACCAGCCCTTCCCCCAGCGGCTGTGGGGCCAGCCTGAGGCCGGGCACCTGCTGCTCCCGCCTCCGGCCTCGCCCCGGGAACGCTCCTCGCGCTTCTGGCCTCGGGAGCTGCGTGGCCATCCCAGAAGTCTTGCTGGCCCCCGCGGTAAGTATCTGCCTGGTCAACCACGTGTGTTCACCACGTCCCCCCCGTGGTGGCAGACCAGGGACGAAGCCCCCCCCGCCTGGCCTGGGCCGGGGCTGCTCCACCACCGTCCTCACCCTCACGACAGCCCGGCTCTGGGGTGGCCATCTTCTTGCCTTTTCATCGTGGGTCACCCGAGGATCAGTTCTCTGGGAGAAGGTTTTTTGGCACTGCGAGTATCCGACCGGCACAGAGGAGGTGCGTCGTAGGTATTTGCTGAGTATAATAAATACACAGCGAGTGCTTACTGGGGCCAGGCACGCGCTGCTCTTCTGTGTTCGTTTATTTAATCCTTCCAGGAGGGGCTTCACGAAAACAGGCGGAGCGGTGAAGTCACTGGCTCCAGGTCCAAGCCGGGGGGCCAACACTGAGCTGCAATCCCGCGGGCCCAGGATGAGCGTGGCAGCCGCTGCCTGAGATGCGGGATGCCCTCAGCGCTCAGGGGTGCGGGGGTCCCAACGCTCCAGTGTGAGAAACAGGCGCTTAGATTTCTGCCCACTGAGAACACCTGGAAAGACAGAATGCCATATTTAACACACCCCAGGAAGGTGTCAGAGAGACAGGTGAGAGCTGAACCACAAAGACCCATAGGGAAGGAAGTTCAGAGGGGTGAGCCTGCACTTGGGGCCATAGCCCCCCCGGAGGCAGCTGCCACATACAAAGTGCAGCGAGCGTGGTCACTGTGTCCAGGAAGTTATGTGACAAACAGAGATTCCAGCTCCAAGCTGGAGTTCAGGATAAGGGGCTCTAGGTGGATGACCCAGACTTTCAGGGGGGCCCCAAGGAGTGATGCTCTCAGAGGAGGTTAAATTGGAAATTTGTCAGCCTCCAAAGGCTGAACCCCAGCTTTTTCGACTCTGTCAGTCACAGACTGTATTCTTGCCAAGAGCAAGAATAAATTCCTCTGGAGGAAGGTAGCATCACCCGCACTCGGTACATTTTTGTTACACAAGGTTTGGCAATAGGAAGGCTGTATCGTGCATATCTGGAGACAAAGATGCGTGGCTGGCCGGGGTCGGACTCGCCCTGCAGCGGCTCCTGACAGCTTCAGAGTGCAGCGCTTTAACCCGCTGCGCTGCCACAGAGGGCCCAGCTCTGCCTCTTACAGCTCTATCAATCCCCTGTAGTGATCTTTTAAAAAATTAGACTGTTGGATGTGAGGGCGATCTGGCTGCAACATCTGTCACCCCACTCATCGCCAGGGTTGACTCGGCTGGTCAGGCTGGCTGGGCGCGTGACCCCTCCTCCCTCAGTGCTCGCGGCCCTCCCGAAGCCGCGTGCCTGGTGGAGGAGGACAGGACGGCCTTCCCCGAGCAGACAGGCGGTCTTCGGTCGAGGGTATACGAGTAGCTGCGCTCCCCTGCTAGAACCCCCAAACAAGCTCTCAAAAAATTAGGCTTTTTATTACGAGATAACCACAGATCCATATTTAGTTGTAGTAAGTTAGTAAAAGAAGAGCCCAGGCCCTCCCTGGGGTGCAGTGGGTTGAAACACAGCCCTGGGGGCTGTCCGCAGCGACCGCAGCACGACTTTGATTCCCGGCCGGGGGTGACCCACAGGGAGCAGCAGACCCGACCCCTCTGTCTCCCCGCTGCTCCCCCCACCAGTGGATTTCAGTCCATCTGCCTGTTCTGCTCCCCGCTCTGTCTTACGCCCCGCACCTCTAGCAGGTACCCCAGTTCTTGTGTGCATAAATAAATCTTTTAAAAAAGACACAGAATTGAAAATACCCATGGTTAATGTATCCAAGAAATTAGATGACAAAGAGAACTGGAAACTACTAGGAAAACTGAATGAAAACTCTAGAACTGAACAATTACATTCACTGGACGTAGGAGCTCAATAAACAGGCTTAGTAGACCAGACACAGTTTAAGAAAGATTCTGTGAGCTGTACTGAAGCGATCAAAAGAAATCACTCAGAATAAAGACTGAGGTGGCTCCACAAGACCAGCGTGACTCCATGTTAGGAAGCCGCTGTCCTGTCCAAGTGGAGCGCTGGCCTACCGTTACCACGCTTTCCTTCCTCGTGAAACACCTTCTCCCGCCCACACCCAGCCCCCAGAACCTGTGAGCAGGGAAATCAGCTTAGAGGTGGAACTGAGGCTGCTAAACAGATGACAGAAGCTAAGAGATTAATCCCGATTATCCAGATGGGCCCAGTGGCATCGGCGTTCTTAGGCCCCAAAGAGGGAGGTTGGAGGTCACATCAGCAGATGCAGCTGGGGAGCCTCAAGTCAAAGAATTTAGGAGCCACTGGAGCTGGTACAGGGAAGGAGCCCATCTCCCAGAGAGGCTCAGGAATTAAATTTTAGCTCAGTAAAATCCATTTCAGGCATCTGACTCCAGCACTGTAAGGTAATAGATTTGGGTTGGTTTCTTTCTTTTTTTTTTTTTTAAGATTTATTTATTTATGCACACAGAACTGGGGTACAGGCCAGAGGTGCAGGGGGTGAGAGGATTCACCAGAGACAGAGTGGGGAGTAGAACAGACAGATCGACGAAGTACACTGCAGGGGAGGGGAGCAGCAGGTGGGTCAGGAGAGGTCTGCCGCACCCTGTGGGTCACCTCCGGGACAGGTGGGGATCGAACTCATGCTGAAGTGGCTTCAGCTTCTTAGTGCTGCGCTTTAACCTGCTGCGCCGCCAGAGAGGGCCCGATTTAGGTTGTTTTAAGTCACCATTTTCACAATCTTTCTTACTTACAGCTGATCCAATTGCTAGCTGATTTCGGGGTGTCCCACCATGCACCACCAGAAACAACAGGAGCACATGAAAGAGCGTAGCTGGAGGGCAGCTGCAGCTGACAGAGCCGGCTGCTCATTCACACACACACCCCTTCAGGTAGCACTCACGGAGCAGCTACTGTCAGATCCTGTGTGAACACAGGGGTGTCGAGACAGCCAGGACAAGGTCCTTGCGCTCAAGGGGCTCACAGGGAAGAGAGAGCCAAGCTCCACTCAAGGCAGCAACAGGAATGGCCCCAGTAAGACAGGGGCGCAAAGGACCCTTCCGGTAGGAGCTGCAGAACCCTGCCCCGCAGCTTTGCCCGAAAGGGACACGGGCTGAGGGGGAAAGGCAGAGGGCGCGTGGGGGCAGAGGGATGCGCGTGCCACGGGGCGGGAGAGAGCCCGAGCGTGTGCAGAGCCAAGAGGGTCGACACGGCTGGCACAGAGCATGGGGAAGGGGCTGCGTGGAGGTGGAGGTGCCCACGGCCACCCCCGCAAATCCTGGGGTGCCCGGCCATAGCAGCTGGATGACACCTGGCAGCTGACGGGGACTCATGAGGGAGAGAGGACACTGTTTCAGAGGAATGCTGGGTGGAATCTGGGTTTTGGGAGGGTCCGCTGGACAGTGGTGGGGAGAAAGGGCAGGGCTGAGTCAGGGAGTGCTGCCAGGGAGTTGTTGCAGAAATGCAGATGGGACCAGGGTGCTGTGCACAGGGGGTGCCAGGGAGACGGCCAGAAGGGCTGTAATCAGGACACAGTGAGGAGTCAGAATTGGCAGGCTTGGGATTGACTGGAGGTGGGCGACGGGAAGTGTGCTGAGTGCGAATCCTGGTTTCTGATGGAGGCAACGGCGTGGGTGGTGGTGCCACTTGCTGAGATGGGGAATGCAGGGACGGCGGGCTGGGGAGACGGGCAACTGTCCGGCCACGGCGAGCCCGAGAGCGCTGATGGACGTGGCCAGCGCCAGCCGGACAGTTAGTTGGATCTTTGGGTGTGGGGCTCTGGGGCGAGACCTGGTCTAGGGAAATATGGAGCCGTCAGAATCTAGGACAGTGAAAGTGAAACCCTGCCGCAGATGGGACACAGCAGTTCTCAACAAGAGGCACACAGAGGTGGGAGAGTGTCTGGAACCAGCAGAGGGGCTCCTCCAGCCTCCCCATACCAGTAAGCTCTCCAGGAAGCCTGACCTTGGGGGAATCCTGCTGATGAAGAGGGGAGCTAAAGCAGGAAGAAATGCAAGACCATGGGCGAGAAGAAAAGGGGTGCAGGTGGGCACAGAGCAAAGGAAGAGCCCAAGAAGGAGCGAGAGGGAAGAGGGTTTTGACGAGATCTAGGAAGGTGAAAGGCCCCAGGCACCTCCTGACCTGTCCAGCTTAGGACGGTGTAGTGATTCTCAACTGTGTGGCCCATCTGTTTGTGAAAAATAGGTCCCCCCCCCAGCATGCTATGCCACCAGACCCTGCGCTTGAGGACTTCTGTGGGTACTGCCTCCAGGGTAGAGACTTTCACAGAGCTGGGCATGGGCGACAGACTTCTGCCAACAGGAGGGATGAATCCAGAAAGAAAGACTACAGGCCAACCTGATTCTACTCTTCCAGAGGTCACCAGTAGCCACGGAGGGGGAATTTCAGTGGTGTTGTGGGAGTGGAAGCCAGACTGTTGTGGGCTGAGGAGAGCATGGGAGGTGAGAAATGAAGACAGCAAACGTGGACCCCTTTTGGGAGAAGTTTGGGTGAGAGGCAGAGGCGAGAGCTTCACCCCCTCAGAGGCCACCATCCCTCTCCTGGAGAAGGCTGGCAAAGAGGATTCAGGAAGTCTGAGGGCTGAGTGAGACATTCCACAGACCTCAGAACACACCAGGGAGGCAAGCTGGGAAGCAGCCAGGCTCACACACCTCAGGCTGCCCAGTCTCAGACGAGTCACTGTGAGTATCTGCTGCCCGCACACGAGGGTCCAGTCCGCCACTGTTACCAACCCAAGGAGCTTCCTATCGCCCAGTCTGACCTAGTTTCTGTCTGGCTTGAAGCCCACCCACACTCTCAGCTCACCCCAGAGAGCACCCAGGTCCCTGAATCTGGCATCCAAACCCTTGAGCCCTGGGGTTTCTACTTCCCTCTGTATCTTCACCCCCACCTTCCTCACCACCCCCCCCATTTGTACCACAGTCACCACCCAGGCCACACCGAGCCCCCAACCGTTCTCCAGCGAAAGATGCGCCCCACCTTCTTCGGCCTACTGGCCACCTTAGACCGGCCAGCTCAAGCACCACCTCCCTCCTGGGAGAAAGCCTGTCCACGCCCCGGCCACCTCGCTGGTGGAATGAGCTCTACTGGTTAACCGCTGTCCAAGACCCATCTGTGAATGTGGCCTTGGATGTCACCCCAAAGACTCATTCCCATAAAGGAAAAGTTTAGGGAGCCCAGCTGACCTTTTTGCTCTACAGTCAAATAACTGAGTCTGCGGGTTTTTCCCCGGCCCCCTCTCTCCGCCTGCACTAATACTTACAGATTAAGTTTCCTCCCAAGGGGAAGACAAGGTGGGCTGATGTAGGTGGGACCAGGCGACTCTTTCGAGGCGGGCTGCAGGTGGGAGGACCTGGAACCTTCTCTCTTTCCGCTAACGAGGCCTTCGCCTCCCGGGCCTGGATCCACCTGGGCGATGTCTAACGTGAACGTGTGCAGTGTGGTGGTGGGAACAGGTGCGACTCTGACTGGAAAGCTCCAATAAGCGCTAGTCGTGAATAGGGCTTTGAGAACCTAATAAATAGACGCTCAGTCATTTGTTATCAAAATGACTGAAGGAAACCCCCAAAGTTTGTTTCGTAAAAAATCCAGAGAACTTTGTGCCCGGCCCCCTCAGGCCCGCTAAAGACGACCATAAATGAAGCCCCGCCTCTCCGGCCCCAGGCCACGCCCCCTCCGCGCAAACCTCGACGTTGGAGGGCCCATTCGGCTCTGATTGACATCGCTCTTCACCAATGAGAAGTGAAAGCCTCGTCAACGTCCGGTGAGGGGGAAGGACTTCCTTGCTGGTTGCTAAGACACTCTGGTTTCGCTCCTTGACAACCCTGGCGGGGGTGCGCTAGCTGCGGGCCCCGGCTCCGGCCCCCGCGGGAGCAGGTGAGGCCCCGGGGCGCGGCGGGCAGCCGAGCGGGGAGGGCCGGCCCGACCGGGGGGCGGGAGGCATCGCGGGACGGGCGGGGCCTCGCCCACAGCGAGGCCCCACCTCCGTCTGCCGCCTGCTGGTGTCCAGCCCCAGGTCCTCCGACCCCCACCCGTCACTTGGGGGACCTGCGAGCTGGGTGGTGACAGACTGTCGTCGGTCGCGACTCTGCCGGCCTCTCCTTTCACTAGTGGAGGCCGGATCCATCTTCGCGCCCTCCCATCCTCCCTGACCGTTGTCCCCCATTCCTCGACACCCTTCCCGGGCCCCAAACACATCTTTCGCCAAGTAACCTCTCCACCACTTCCGTGGGTGGGTCGGTGGTCAGCGTCGCCTTGACCCATCCGCTGGACTTGGGCGACTGTCAGCGGGCTGGGACTTGAGGCGGGTCATTTCCCTCCTTGGGCCTCGGGTGAAGTTGGGTTGACTGATCTCTAAGGCCTTTTGGACTCTGATCTTCAGGGTGATTCTCTGACCCAACTGTAGGCTTCCCCCAAGGATGTGCATGGGTGTAGTGAGAAGAACTTGGCAGACCGAATCTGCAGGACCCTAACAAGTTACTTCCCTGCTTCCTGAGTTCATAGGACATCAGGACACTGTAGCACAACTCGGTGGGGGACTCTGAGGGTGAGGTGAATTGGAGAGTCAGTATGTGTCATGTCACTTCCTTTGTCTCTTCCTGCCTGCATGTCCCTGAGAAGTCCCCAGCATCCCACCGTCAGCCATGTCTCCATTTGACCCCAAAAGTCAGACCTCCACCTCTGGTCTTTCTCCTGAACTTCCTTAGTCAGGGAGGCTTTGCGTAAGGGTAGAGATTGATGCAACAATGTGGCAGCTGGGCCGGGCCACTTTCTTCTCTCGCTCCCTAAGACAGTCCGTGATTTAGTCTTTTCCTCCCCCCTACTCGGCTCTGTACCTCTTACCAACAACGGGAACTCAGTAGTGCTAAAATCAAGCCGTGGCTTCTCCACCTGGCCATCTGTTCTACCTGACTTGCTGTTTCTCTCCCAGGGGCATCCACCTTCTCCGGGGGCATCACCTGTCACTGCCATGCCCGCCCCGTTCTGGCAATTGTCAGGTTGCTTTGGTTCTGCCTCCATGAGGACCTCACATCCTCTCCATTCCTGAAGCTGCCACCGTGGTTCAGAGCTTTGCCTCCTGTCCGCTGAGAGTCGCTGCTGTGGCCTCCCAGCGGGCGTGCAGCCTCTCCTCCTGTTGATGCATGGGCAGAGCAGTTGCCAGAGCTACGACCATGTCACCATCCCCCAGGAGACCGCCGAAGGGTTTCCCTTGCCCCACTAGAAATATCCGCCCCACTTAGGCCTGGGTTCCAGGCTGGAGCCTGTGCTTCCGCGACCCAGCCCCAGCTCCCGCCCCCTTCTCTGTGCCAGCTTCTGTCTGCCAGCAGATGGGAGGGGCGCTTTCCCAGAAAATGCTTCGAGTGCTCTTCCCTGGCCTCGCTGCGCTGTTCACCTCTCTACCAGCGAGTCTTCCTCCCCTTGTCCACCTGTCCAGTGCCCGCTCATCTTTCAAGGCCTGGCTCGAGGCTGCCCCTGCCCTCGGGGACAAGGTTTCTCTTCTCTCGCTGTCCTCTTCCCTGCCAGATCCTTTCTATCTCAGCAGTGTCTGTGGCACTTACTCCATCGTGAGCCATCTTGTTCTGTGTGTGCGTGTGCGCGTGAGTGTGCACAGGCGTGCTCACCTCCCATATCAGACTGGAAGATCCTTGAAGGCAGCGGCTGTCTCCTGCTGACACTGGAGTAACTGAAAAACAGTCCTGAATTCCCGTGGCTCATATCACTTGGGGTTGAATCCTGGCTCCTCTGCTTACTAGCTGGTGGAGTCAGCTCCTTTTCTCAGCCTACGGCGTCACTAGAGAAGTCGGAATAACAAGCCTGTCTGTCGGCCTTAGCGCGGGGAGTAAATAAGAGCTTCTGTGTGTAGAACACCGTCCTTTGCCTGGCTCAAGATCAGTGCTCAGCACATATTACTGGGCAGAATCCACAGGCCTCTCCCTGCCCAAGGAGCAAACAAACTAGGATGTAACTGCAGCGTGGGTGTTTGTAGGGCTGTTGCCAGGTGCCCAACGCTGGCCTCGGTGCCCTGGGACACGGGCAGGAGGGCAGGCCGAGCCCCGAGCCCAGCGGGCCTCCGGCATGGTGCGCAGGCACAGACGGTTGTGAGGCATCCCTGGTGCCCAGCACTGCGAGTGATTTCTTAAAAAATAAATCCGTGCGAAACCCCACTTTACACCTGCGATAATGTTCTTGGTCCCTTACGTTTAAGTCTGGTCTCTTGAGTGGCAGCGGCGGGTGGGGCTGGCAAGAGCCCCCTGGCGAGGGGCTTTTCTCTTGGGTCGCTAGTGGCTGTGGTGGGCGTCGCCTCTGGTTGGATTTGGCACCTGACGAAAATCTTGGGGATGTCATCCAAGTTGGGGTCCGTCCACGAGGCTGTGTGGTGTGAGTCAGTGTCGGTCATGAGTCAGGTTGTCCATGGGGAAAATGTCTTCATCACTCTCCTGGCCTCCTCCTCCCTCCTTTCTCGTGACTTAAGATGCATCAGGTTTTCACTGTACCTCAATAAAATGAGAAGAAATAAGAGCATTGTTAAAAAAAAATGCCAACTCTTTGTGCGTGTAAAAGGAAACTGACTGAAGAAAACGCCTTTATTCCACAGTCATCTCCTTGCTGTTGAATTTTGGATGTTTTTAGTGCGCTTACTCACAGTGTTTCCCACGCAGCCCGTGTTTGCGGCCCCATGTAAGCTCCTCTGTGAAATCCAGATCTGCCTTGTTGCCCACATCTCAGGAGGACCCCCACGTCCAGCTTGCCAGCTGTGCTCTGTCTGCCAAGGGAGGGCGGCTCCCTAACTGAGCGGGGGAAGGAGGGGCTGGTGACTGGGGACAGAGGTGTTCATGTTTCATTTCCATCTTGTCTCCTACTGGCAGGTGACAGGAGACACAGGAGCACAGAATAGACGTGGGAGGGACCCTACCTGTGTACCTCGGGCCAGCCCCCAGCCGCTCTGAACCCCCGCAGCTTGGGTTGAGGGCTGGGAGTGGACGGCACCCCCACAGGCCAATAGGAGAGTGCAGACAGGGTCACCTCCTGGGCCCCGCCCGGCTGCCTGCGACCGCCCTTAACACTAGCTGCTCGGAGGGACCTCGCACGTGCTGGTGCGTTTGGCTGAAGGTTTAGGGGTGCTGGCACATGAGGAAAGGCCTGCCTGTCCCCTTCTCACTGCAGGGGCGCAAGAGCTGACGGCTCCCGTGAGGTGGGGTCTGCTCTTGGCCCTGTTTGCCCAGGTTCCGTGAGGCCAGCCCCTCCGAGAGGCAGCGACCGTCCGGCCTGGCTGCCTGGGCCGCTCCGCCTGGCGACTCTGCCAGGGGCGTGAGAGGGGTCTCCAGCCAGGGTCCTTCGGGCTTTGAGCAACTGTCTCCCCAACATGCTGCAAGGAGCTGGCAGACACTTTAGGCCTTTCCCAAGGTCCACTCCCCTCGTCCCTCTTCCTCAAGGATTTTTGTGGAATGCTCCCAAAAAGCAAAATAATAATGGCTAAGGCCACCAAGGGGCGAGAGACTGGCTTTGACAAGCGGGTGATTAAGGACTCTGCCTCTGTTGCCCAGAAGTCTCCGGTCAGTCAGTCGTTAAGCTGTGAGGGCCTCTGGGTCTGGGGGAGGGGGCGGCGAGGGGCGGGCAGCGCGGCCAGGCCTGCATTATTGAGGTGCCCTGAGCTGGCCGCCTCTGGCCTGGAGCTGTGGGCGCACGCTCCTTGCGCGGAAGATGGATACGGTGATTAAAGCCCGAGCACTGCTATTTCGGGGAGCAGCCCTGCAACAGGGCTCATCGTGCTCATGGCTGTAGCTGCGCTCTAAGGGGAGGTGGCAGCTTAAAAAAGCCTTTCTGTGGCTGGAAACACCATTTCCGACCGGTCCTTTTTGTTCCGTAAGTCTCGCCCCTCGTGGGTCCCCAGGAGGACACGAGATGGGCGGGAAGCTGCGTGCCGTTGGGGCCCTTCAGCCAGCGGGCTTGGGAGGGGTCAGGGAGTCCTGGGCAGTGGGCAGAGCCGGCCGGGAGCAGGTGGAGAGCAGCTCGTGTGCAGACTCAGGGCGAAGACTTGGGCTTGGGCAGTGTCAGAGTGAGACGATGGGGGGACCCCTCTCAGGGAGCAGGACCCCGAGACGCAGGAGAAGCCTTGCCCCAAGGCTGCAAAGCAAGGGAGAGCGCAGAGCTCGGCTCCATTCTAGACCTTCACCTCAGAGGCCCGCTCTGTCTTCTGGGGGAGGATGGCCTCACCCCCCAGCTGTCAGCCTTGAGAGACCCTGCTGGCGCGTCCGGGTCCGTGCTGAGGCCAAGTCCCCGCAGCCTCCCATCTGGCCTCCCCACAGGCCACGCACGCTGCTCCACACCCACATCCGGCTCCCGCCCGCGTGTCCTGGCTCCCGGCTGCCTGGCGCCAAAGCGAAACATCTTGGTGGAAAGCACCTGACAGCGGCTCTGGCTTCTCGGGTTGCGTCTGCTTGAAATCTCGGGGTGAAGCCCTGTCCCTTGCCATCGGTGTCATCACCTTGTCATCCCCCAGGAATGCGGAGGAGGCAGCAGGAAAATGCCTCCCTACTAAAGCTGGGGGGACGGGGTGGAACTGCAGATGGGCCTCAGTGCTGATGAGCAGAGACCAGCTGCACCGCGAGGCGTGAAGTCAGAAGCGTGAGCGGAAAGGGTGATGGCGGTGCCTGGACATGTGCCGGCTGACACGCAGGACCAGAAGCCGCTGATACCTGAACGGATGAGCTAAGAGAAGCCGCTGATACCTGAACGGATGAGCCTCTCGGGAACCAAAAAACACCAGCGTCATGGGGCGGTGGCGCTGGGCCCGGCCGGCCCCCGTCTAGTGGAGGGGAGTGGGGGCGCGCAGCTGAGAGAAAGCACTGCTTGGCCTGTGAGCAAGGCTCCAGCGCGCGCTGGCGCAGCAGGCACTCAGGAGGAGAGTCAGCTTTTATCTCACGTCTGGGGACACCCCAGCCACGCTAGTGGTCACGCACTTGAGGCCACTCTCTGTGGGTGCCAGCTGCGTATGAGGGCCAAGGAGGGCTACCAACCCACACCAGAGACTGCTGGGGCTCAAACCCAGCTCTGCCACTCACTAGCCGGGCGGCAGCTTCGTGCCTCCATCCGCCCACGCAGAACCTACCTCGTGGGGCCCCGGCAGCCGGGACCCGAGCCAGGCAGGTGAAGCTCTTCACGGCGCCTGGCACGCGGGCAGCCTGCTGAGCGTGGCCTGCCGGGACCCGCCGGGACTGTGGTGCAGCGGCTGGCCATGGCAGCTTTATTCAGAAGTGTGACAAGTGCCGGCTTCAAAGTATTTGACTGTGCTTGTCAGGGCTCCGCACTGCTCCTGAGGTCGGAAGTCCTTCGAGCCCTGTGGCCTGCAGAGTGAGTCGTGTTGTCGGGTTTCCAGCCAGGCTCCCTTGAGGATTCCGGCTCATCTCTTCAGGAGAAGCCCCCCTGCCATCGCATCGGATTTGGAGGGGAGAGACACCCTTACATCTGGCCAAGTCATAAGTCGCCCCCGCATGCCCGCCCCCGGCTCCCCCCGTGCCAGAGGGGCACAGTGTGCGGAGTGCCAGGCCCGTCTCATTCCACTCTCGTAACTGTCCCTTGAGGTCGGTGCGACTGAGGGGCATCTGAGGCCCCGGCCTCGGTGCTGGGGAGCAGTGGAGTCAGAACACCTAGTTCCTGGGCCAGGCAGGACAGGGGCCCCCGGGGCGGGGGAGGCCAGGATGGAGGAGCAGTGGCGCCCTCCTGTACACCAGGGCCAGGGGAAGGGGGCGCTTGCTGGCCCACACGCCCGGGATTGTTGCTCGCCACCTGACATTTAACGCCATCACCAGCTGGAAAATGGGGGCTGTGTACGCGGGGCGCAGAAGCGGCGTCTGCTGGTGGCTCGCTCGAGGCCCCCCGCCTGGCCCACCGTCAGTGTGTCTGGAAGGCGCAGTGTGGGCCCGCAGCGTCTCACAGCGTGTTCTCGCCGGCCAGCTTCCCGTGTTGACTCAGCCGGCTGCAGGCTTGCTGGCCATTTGGGAAAGGATGCGGAGGAGTTAAGATCGGGAGGTGTCAAATTGTTACTGAGACAGTTCTAATTTGTGATGAACGGTTTTGAAGCCAACTCTTTTCTCCCGGTCTTTCCTGTTTCCTGCAGCACCCCTGGGGAGAGCCGGTCTCCACTCCCACAAGGCGGCAGGGCCTGCTCCTGCTTCCAGAGCTCCCGGGCGCGTCACTGCCAGGCCCAGCACCGAAGGCCCCGCTCGCTCCTGCCCGCCAGCGGCCCCGGGGGAGGACCATGGGGGAAACAGAAGGGAAGAAGGAAGAAGCTGACTACAAGCGGCTGCACACTTTCCCCCTGGTCAGGGTAAGCCGGGCGGGCGGGGCGGGGCGGGGCGGCCCTGCGAGGGAGGAGAGAACTCTGCTGGCTCAGATGTAGCAGGCGACGTGACTCATTCTTCCATCCATTCATTCATGACCAGTGTTACCTCGGCCACCTCCTCCCTAGCCATGTGCACGGCGCCGGGACCGACCAGGCTGCCCCTGCAAAAGCACGTCTCTCCAGGTCACAGATGCTACCAGCAAAAATAAAACATGCATCAGGCAGCAGAGGGAACTGGCCTCTGGGAAGCTTTCTTCTGTCGGAGGCCAGAACATAGTTAGGGAGCAAGCCCCGGGAAGAGCCTTCCAGCAGGGGTGACCCCAGGCCCCGAAAGCCCGAGGAGGCAGTGCGTGCCCAGAGGATGAGAGGCCAGTCACCAGAGGGGCCGCGGAGGGGCGCCCCGAGGGGTTTCCCCAGAGGCAGTGGCCGACTGGTTTGTGCTCACTCTGGTTGCGGAAAGGAGAATGGGCGTTAGGCCCCAGAGGACAGAGGACGCGAGACTTGTGGGGCATTTGCGATCTTTTGGACTCCCGAGCAGGGCTGTTGAGAAGCCACTGCACGTAGGGGTCCCGAGGCCAAAACAGAGGTCACGCTGGGGGTGAAAGTGTGGGCGCCCTCCCCATAGCGGCTTATGAATCCTCGAGACAGGCTAGCGCCCTGGACAGTAGGAGGCTGGACCCGAGGACAGGCTGGGCTGAAGCCCCGGGCGCTGCACCACTGGGAGGAAGGGGCCCGGCGAGGCAGGCTGGGCGAGAGCCACAGCGGCGGGGAGGAAGCCGGGTGCCAAGGGGCCAGCGGCTGCCCACCCCGACACAGACAGCGACGTGGAGCCGCGCGCCCTCACGGAGCCTGGAGCCCAGGGCTGGGCTCAGCCCAGCTGCCCCCGGTCAGGAGGCTTTGCCCAGAGCCAGGCCAGGGCAGCTCCCCAGCGTCCCCGCCTTAAGCTTGGGCAGAGAGGCCAGCCGGCCGGCCAGCTGGAGGGCTGAGCCTCTGTCTGTCTGTCGCCCTGCCCCGTCTAGCACTCGGACATGCCAGAGGAGATGCGGGTGGAGACCATGGAGCTGTGTGTCACGGCCTGTGAGAAATTCTCCAACAACAACGAGGTACGGGCAGCCCCCTGTGCCTCTGGTGACACCCCACCCCCACCCCCCGTGGGTGAATGAGTGGCTCCATCGGCAGCCAGCTCCTGGCAGAGCTCCCTGCTGGGCCAGGCTGGGCCAGACTGGCCACTTCCTTGCGAGCTTTCACACGCAGCCCAGGAAGGCCAGTGAGGACCCAGCAGTGCGCTCTCAGGGCTCTGGCCTGGGGGTCACGCCCAGCCCTTGAAGGAGAGCAGCCTGGGGAGCTCCTTGACGCCCCGTCCGTGTTCCCCACCTCCGGAGGGCTGGTGAATAGGGTGCCTTTCCCCGGCCCCGGCAGAGAACAGAGCCCACCCAGCCATTCATTCATTATCACTCTGCACCGGCCCCGGGCTGGGCGCTGGGGGTCGGCCAGCTGGCATCAGCATGGGGGTGTGCAGCTTACCCAGCTGCTGACGAGCGGGGCAGCCCGCAGGGAGGCGCCTCAGGGAGTATCCACGGGGAGGCGCCCTTGTCCGAGGGCTCTGGCTTGGGGCGGCCGGGCAGGAGTCCACCTCCAGGCCTTCCTGGTTCTTCCACCTTGGACAAGCTACTCAGCTCTGAGCCCCAGTTTCTTATTCCGTGATAAGATGGGGTGCTGCCTCCTCTGTCTTGCGGGTACATGTACTGAGAGCTGCGGACGCCCGGCGTGGCCCCGGGCACGGGGAGGGTAGGTGCTTCCAGGGCGGCCTGGCGTTCACAGAGGCTGCGCCCTCCCCTGCCCCGCGGCCCCTAAGAGGCTCTGGCCAGCGCCGGGAGGAGCCGCTCCCAAAGCCAGAGGGGCTGGCTGACACCTCGGGGCGGGCCGGTCCTGCACGGCTGCGCGTGCGTGGCGCCTGGCCGCCACCAGCCGCGTCCTGACGCCCGGAACCAGCCTGCCCCCTTGCCTGGAGCCTCCTGCAGGGCGGCGCCTGGGCTTTCTGGGCCCCCAGCAGGAGAACGCGCCCAGTGGGCGACGGCCGCCCTCTTGCCAGCACTTGGGCTTCCAGGGCCAGCGTCCCCGCCCGCACCCCAACAGTGTCCTCTTCTTCCAGAGCGCCGCCAAGATGATCAAAGAGACGATGGACAAGAAGTTCGGCTCCTCCTGGCACGTGGTGATCGGCGAGGGCTTCGGGTTCGAGATCACACACGAGGTGAAGAACCTCCTGTACCTGTACTTCGGGGGGACGCTGGCCGTGTGTGTCTGGAAGTGCTCCTGACACCGCGCCCGGCCCTGGTCCCCAGGACTTCTTCCTGCCGCCGCTCGTCCGGGCCGGGCCTCAGTTCCCCGCGGGTCCTGGCTGTGGCGCGGGAGTCTGGGGTCTCCTCTTCTGTCCTGTGTCCCCGTCTCCTGCGCCCCGTGTGTGAATTTGTCGCCTCTGTCCCAGGCTCCCAGTCTTGTCGCTGCGTCCCGGGCTGTCGCAGGCCCAGGAGCGGTGGACGCAGGCAGGCCGGAGGCGGCCGGCAGGAGCGGGGTGCGGGGCGCCCTTTTTCTCATAAGGCCCTGCCCGGCCCACCTCCCTGGGGCCGTTCTGCCCTGCACCCCAGGGGCCCAGCCCGCACCCCAGCTCCGCGGGTGAGCGTCCACCGCCCTTGTCCTGACCGGCCGCCTGACCCGCAGCCGGCCCCCGGAAGGAGCCCTCCCCCGGCCGGGGACACCGGCAGCTTCTCTCCCTGTGCTCGGGAGAAGCGGTGACCCCGGGACCCCTTCCCCAACTTGACCCCAGGCAGAACCGGCCACCGCATCTCACCGGACTGCCCGCCCACAGCCCGCCCTGGCCCTGGCCCGACCCGAGCCCCTCCCCGCGCCCTCCGGAGCGGACTCAGCCTCCTCCCGGGCACTGGTAACAGTGGCCGGAGCTGCCCGCGAAGCTTCTCCGGGGCGCACTGGGCGGGGAGAGGCCCGGGCCAGGAGTCCGCTCCCCGGGAGGCCTGTTGGCAGGGGGCGGCCGCGGCTGCTTCTCATCAGGGACCGCATGCCGATTTGTACTTGAGCTCTGCTGGATTTTCTATGTTCTTTCTGAATGTGGGAGAAGGGTTTTAGTAGAAGGTGAATCCTATTTTACACAGCGGTCTTATTTATATAAATGTCTGGGTTTTTACAATTAAAATGACCAAAACCAGCTTGACTTACAGCCTCTCCTGGGCCGCTGTGGGCGGGCTGGTCACTGTCCTTAGGCTGAGGGGGCCCGGCCCTGCCCGGGCCCGCCTTCCCCGGCACGTCACGGGGTGGGGGCGACCCAGCTGACTGGGCCAGACACGAGCCACCCTGCGGCCCGACGGTGCTTCTGTGGCGTTTCAGCCCCACGACGCTTCATGCAGCTCGAAGACTTTCCTCGGCCCCGGGGAGCCAGGCCCAGCGGGTGGCCACAGAACCGCCCTCACGCGTGAGGGGCCCTGAAGCCGGCGGTTCAGCCTGCTCCACTCGGCGTGCAGTGGTGTGGGAAGAGACAGACCGGGCGTTCTGGAGGGGGGAAGAGGCCGGGGGAGGGGCCTCTGGGTGGGCAAAGTAGGGCTCTAGGGGAGAGGGTGCCCAGGCTCCCCGCATGAAGGCCGAATGCCCTGAGGACAAGGAGCTGCCTTCAGGGACCACGAAGCCTTGTCAGCTCGGCTGGTCCCGAACCCCAGTGTCCCCCCAGCCCCTCGTCCCCACACCCACCAGGACACCTGAACTGGACGGCCTGCTGGGACAGGCACCAGGGGCCGAGCAGGCAAGGAGCCCACGGGGGCTCCCGGGCTGAGCCCAGGGCGGGGTGGGGCAGACAGAAACCATGGCCACGGCCCCAGCTGACCCCTGGGGCGCAGGAGCTCACTGCACTGGCCCCAGTTCTTCGGGGTGGGGGGGGGGCAGGGAACATGAATGAGACCACTCACTGCCGCAGCCTGCGCCCCACACCACATGGGGTGCTGCCAGGGAGACTGGGAGGCACAGATGGGCGTGAGGGGGTGCGGAGGCTGGGCACAGCGAGCTTATTAGCTGGCTGCTTGGCGTCTGTTCTCTTCTATAATCTGCTGCGTGCAGGTGCCAGAAGGTGGTGAGGGGTGGCGGTCGGGAGTGTGGGCCCTGAGGCCTCCCACCTGGCTCAGGCCCGGCCCGGCTCTTCCTTCCCCCTGCGCCTGGGGCGCTTGGTCGGGAGACTGGGCCGAAGGCAGCGTGTCCCCAGGTCGGCAGGAGTCCCAGGCCCTGGGACAGGGTGCCCATCGCTCCTGCAGCCACTGTCCGGACCCCCCACCTCCCCGGGGCGTGTGGTCACTGCTGGGCGGGACCGGGACAGGGCTGCCGGCCTCAGCGGCTTGCTTTCTGCCACGACCGCAGGCTGGGCACATGGCCACTCGGACCTCCCACTCGGTGTCGCTGCCCCTGGCCAGGGACTCCACATTCCTTCGTGACTGAAAGGAGAGGGCTTGTCAGTGATGAGGCCGAGGAGGAGCTATCAGCGAAGCTGTTTCCCTGGTGGCAAATGGCTGCCGCCTGTTGAGGGAGACAGACTCAGGAAGGACACGCATTGAGACAATCTGCGAGGAGGAGAAAGGGGCCTGGGGGCGTGGGGTCCGGAAGGGCCACCCCTCACTGCCCCGGCAAGCCCGTGGCCCAGGGGCGTGGGGAGGCTGGGTGGAGTTCCGAGGATGGGGCAGGGCACGGGACTCCCCGCTCCTGCCCACGGCATCCTGTGTCCCCAGCAGACCTCCGAGGGGCCGTCATGTTCCCACTGACAGGAAGGAGTCCGGCGGGGGCAGATGTCTTGCCAGGGCTCAGCCTCTCCCAGACCTAGCCCTCGCCTGGCAGCCTGTGTCCCTGCGTCCACAGGCCTGTTTGTTCCCCACCGCCCCCAGCACTGGGGTCCCCAGGCCTGTCAGTGCCTCTGTCCATCTGTCTCCCAGTCTTGGGGGCCGCCGCCTCCGCCCAGACGCAGCAGCCCCAGAACACACCGCTGTCCGCTGTGCGGGAGCAGAGCTGCCGGCTGACAGACCCCAAGGCAGGGTCCCCCTGCGGGCCCGTCCCCTGCGGCCGCAGCCACGGGAGCGCAGGCAGCCGGGGCCTCCCCAGAGTCGGGCGGCGGGGCGGAGGGGTGCTGGGGCCAGCAGCGCAGGAGGCCCCTGGCAACCGAGGCAGCGGGCAGGCCGCCCGGGCGGCTCGAGGAGCCGGAGGAGAAATCGCCTCAGTATTGAATGTTGCCTTGAAAGCAGAGCGGAGAAGCCGGGATCCCGCTCGGCTGCTTCCCGCCTCTGCAGAGGACAGAGCCCCGGGAGGGCCGGGACTGGGGGCCCCGCCCCGCCCCCCAGCAGTGGCACCAGACTCAGCTGCTTGAGATGGGGGAGCCGCCCAGCCAGGCAGGGCGGGCGGCTGGGGTCTGGCCACAGGCCCCACCTGCGTTTTCCTTTTGTCTTCCTCACGCGTATTTAAAGCAACCACCTCCCTCTGCCAGCTGCTGGCTCAGTCCTGAGCGCGGGCGGGCGGGGAGGGCCCGGAGCCCGAGCCGTACTAGTTCTGGTGAGTGGGAGCTCGCACCACAGAGCCTCCCAAGCTGACTCGGTGAGGGGCCACTGCCCGCCTCGGCCCCCGCCCCCCACCCAGCAGAGGCACGTTGCCACGTGCGGAGCCTGTGACGCCAGGCCCCCCAGCCTGGGCGGTCCCCCCGCCCCGTCCACCTGCAGGTCTGTGCTGCGCCCATCTGTTTCTGCTCCTGAAAAATGGGGGCTGTGGGCCCCGCCCCGCCGCCTCCCCAGGGTTACGGGGCACCTGCAGAAGGTGGGTCGCGTTGGAAGGGTCAGGGGGTCGGGCGGTGGGGCAGAGGGCAGAGGTCGCCCTGGCCCCACTTCCAGCTGGAGGCTCGGGCGTCTGGCAGGTCGCCCGGCAGGGCAAGGCGGGAGGGCAGGTGACGCCGCTGTGGCCACGTTCCCTCCTGAGCTGGGAAACCCCGCCCAGCGCCCCTGCTGCGGGGGGCCCTGCTGTCGCCCCCACAGCCGACCCTCAGACCCTCAGCCGGCCCCGGGAAGCGCGCCAGGAAGACACGGAGGCTCCGGCCGGATGCGGGGACCTGCTCTGAGAGCCGGGCGTGCCCGGGCCCGGACGCGCGGCTCAGGGCCGGCACTGACCGCCCAGGCGCGGCCAGCGGCGCTGCCTCTGCAGGGCCTCCGCAGCACCCCGACACCCCTCGCCAGTCACCTGCATCCCACTGTGCCACGTGCTCCGACGTGTGTCCGCACCTGCGACACGAGTGACTCGATGTCAGAAACCGTGTCAGCGCTCACACACGGGGCTGTTACGAATCAGGGATGCGTCACGACTCGGGTGCATGAGAGGACGGACGGATGGACAGACAGATGGACGGGGGAGTGGATGGATGGGTGGACGGACGGGTGGGTGGATGGATGGACGGATGGACAGACAGAAGTGGGAGGGTGGGTGGGTGGATGATAGACAGATGAGTGATGGTGGATGAATGTTGGATGGATGGACGTGTGGACAGATGGACGGGGGGGTGCATGGAGTGGATGGAAGGGCGGAAGTGGCTCAGTGGGTGGGCGCAGGCTTCTCCAGGAGGCTCAGAGCAACGGGGGACACTGCAAGACTCAGCATCGACGGCCGGGGCAGGACCTGAGCCCTGTCCCTAGATTCCCAGTGTCCTTCGTCAAATTTCCCAGACCCTCACAGAGGCCTCAGGCTTGTTGGGCTTCACAAAGTTACTGCCCTTAGCCTGCTTCCTGAGGAAGAAGGTGACCCAGGGCAGCACAAATGACCCCTGGCGTGGAGAAGCTCTGAAGGACCGCACAGCCGAGTGTGGGCTTCCCGGCAAAGTCTTAGCCCTTAACGCCAGCCCCACCCTGGAGCGACCCCCGCCCCCATTTCCCTCACTGCTCCTTCCTCTGCCCCTGCCCAGAGCCCCAGGGGAGCGGGAAGGTGCCATCATGGTGAGGGCCAGCTTCTTGGAAAGCTTGTCCAGGGCTAGGAGACGGAGACTGAGCGTGTGGTACCAAGCGGCCCCAGCCCAGCTGCCTTTCCCTGGACCCTGGCCCGCGGCTCCCTCCCTGGCCCAGGCCTCCAGCTCCAGCGCCTGGGGCACCTGGCCACTCCCGCATGGACACCATCTCTGCAGGGCCCTCCCCAGACCCAGCCACCCCCTCTCCGGGTCCGGTTCCTCCTCTGTGCCCCAAGGGAACCTCCTATGGTTCACCATTTAGTCACCCCTTCAGAGCGCCCAGTCTTCCCACGGCTCCTACCCGATTTCTGGGTCCCGGGTGGACTCTGCTGTCTAGGCCGGTCTCACTGCAAGCGGCGGTGTGGGGCGACCTCTCGTGGCCACACGCGGGTATTACAGCTCACCGAGCCGGCCAGGCCCCGGCCCGCAGGTGGGGCTGGGAGGGGCTGGGGGAGGGGCCGGGGAGGGGCCGGGTAGGTGGGAGGGACGGGGAGGGGCTGGGAGGCGACGTGCCACCTGCCCCCGCAGCCCTCTCACCAGGTCACTGCGTCAGGTTCCTGGGCCCGCGAGGGAAAGGTGGGGTGGCGTTGAGTCCTGGCTTTTCTGTTATTTGCAAACATTGATTGAGCACGCCGTGTGCCCTGACGCGTGTGCCCTGACGCGTGTGCCCTGACGCGTGTGCCCTGACGCCGTGTGCCCTGACGCCGTGTGCCCTGACGC